CAGAGATCCATCGAGGATCGAGCCTCGACGGAGTTGCGCTCGATGTTTCGCTCGAGGGGGGGCCGACGAAGCCTCTCGGGAAACCTCTCGGAAAGCTCGAGGGAACGGGCCTTGATCGCCGCTCGCTCCTCGATGAGGCCTCGGTTCGAGAGTCCAAGGTTCTCGGGCCAGGGATCCGAGATCTCGTGATCTCGGATCAACGGTGGCCCGAGGCTGTCGGAGCCTCGATCCGAAGATCGATCGAGGATCGAGCCTCGACGAAGGGATCTCAGACGAGGTGACCTTTAGACAGAGGCTCGATCCTCGATCGACTCTCGGATCGAGAGTCCAAGGTTCTCGGGCCAGGGATCCGAGATCTGGTGATCTCGGGTCAACGATGGCCCGAGGCTCTCGGAGCCTCGATCCGGAGATCGATCGAGGATCGAGCCTCGACGGAGTTGCGCTCGATGTTACGCTCGAGAGGGGGCCGACGAAGCCTCTCGGGAAACCTCTCGGAAAGCTCGAGGGAACGGGCCTTGATCGCCGCTCGCTCCTCGATGAGGCCTCGATGAAGCCTCGCGCTGGGCCTACTCGGCTCAAACCTCCACCTCGATCTTCTCGAACTCTTGCTTGCCCGTCTTCTCCACCTTCATCTCCTCGTACTCGTTGTTGATCTTGGTGAAATTCGGGAAGCTAGTACACATCGAAGAACATCTTCTGATGCTCGAGCTTCCTCTTCTCCTCGGTGTCCTCGTCGCGCTTGAGGCGCTTGGCGGCGGTGTACTTGTGCACGTCGAGCTCGAAAGCCTTCTTGGCCACCTTGCTGACTTGCCAGCGCCGCGCCACGATGGCGTTCGTGGTGCAGATGCGCTCGCTGGCGTCGCCCTCGAGGCAACACCGCTTGAACGCGTCGAAGTAGTCCTTGGCCTTCTTGGGCAGGATTGCTACCGACTCGAGCTGCTCCTTGCCCTTCTCGGCGCTGGCCCTCGGCAAGACAGGCTTGAATTGCATGTTCACTGGAAGCATCACCTCGTGCAGCGCTTGCAGATCTTGGGGGGTCTCGCCGAGGGCCTGCTTGACAACCTTGGTCGCGGCTCCCTCGGGCATCATCTCGGCCTCGTCGCCGAGGAGCGCGTCGTGCGTTTTGGCCTCGTCGAGCAACTCCGCTCGGAAGCTCGGCAGCATCCTGAACAACTTCTCGACGTTCGTGTCTTGGTCGTCGAAGCCGTCGAACATCTCGGTGCCCCCCTCGATGTGCGTCTTGTTGATGATTGCTCAGAGCAGCTCGCCGCGCCTCTTGTCCTTGCCGTGGAAGATGCCTTTGTACTGGATGCCCTCGAGGCTCCCCGTCTTGAGGGCGCTCGCGAGGACGGCGTTCTTGATGTTCTTGTGCCGCAGCGCGGAGCCGCCTCGGCAGTAAAAGCTCGTCATCCTCGAAGCGTCGGTAGCCTCGCCGCTCGATTGGCGCTGCCTCATCTCGGCGCAGCCTGCCTTCTCGGCGATGTACTCGAGTGTCTTGTTCTGCACCTCGATGGCCTCGTTCTGCTTCTCGAGCAGCTTGGACATCTGCTCCAAAACCTTGTTGTTTTGCCTGAGCAGCTCGATGGCGTGGCTGTCCCCCGCGAGCTGGGGGCTCGACGCCTTGGGCGACGCCAAAGCTCGGGAAGCTGACGCTCGAAAGCTTCGGAAGCTCGAGAGGCTCGAAAGCTCGGAAGCTCGAAGCGCTCGAGCCAGAACGGTTGCGGGCGGGAGCAGGAGACTAGCTCGTTTCGCTGGGTACATCCTCGAAAACGTGCTCGTTTCGCTTGAAACATCCTCGAACCAATCTCTCGTTTCGCTTGAGACAACCTCGACAAATCTTTCATCTCGCTGGAGACATCCTCGAGCAATTGCTTGTTTCGCTTGAGACACCCTCGAACACAATTTGTCGTTTCGCTCGAGACCTCCTCGACAAATCTCTCGTTTCGCGTGAGAAATCCTCGAGTCTATGCTTGTATCGCTTGAGACATCCTTAAGAAACGTACTGTTTCGCTTGAGACGGCCTTCAGTGTGCTTGTTTCGCTGGAGACCTCCTCGAATGTATGCTTGTTTCGCTTGAGACATCCTCGACAACGTGCTCGCTTCGCTGGATACATCATCGAAAACGTGCTCGTTTCGCTGGAGACATCCTCGAACAAATCTCTCGTTTCGTTTGAAACATCCTCGACAAATCTCTCGTTTCGCTTGAGACATCCTCGAGTATATGCTTGTTTCGCTTGAGACATCCTCGACAAGTTTTCGCTTCGTTTGAGACATCCTCAAATATTTGCTGGTTCCGCTTGAGACATCCTTGAACTATTGATCGTTTGGTTTCAGGTTGCCTCCCAAAATTATTGGTTTCGCTTGAGACATTCTGAAAAAAACGTGCTCGCTTCGCTTGCCTCGATGGCGAACTTTGCCCGTGATAATGAAGTTCGGCCCTCGCGCCCCAGCGCCCCCGACCAAACTCTTATTGGTCGACGATAAAACATTCTAACGACTTAAGGGGGGGGTGCGTTATTATCGTGGGCATGGGGTTATTCGACTACATGTGCGGCGTTGGCAAATGCTGCGACGAGTGCGGCGCCGGCGAATTCTACGTCATGCTTCTTCAAGACAATGGTGAGATTATATGCCGAATGCCTCATGAGTCCGCCCCGAAATATCCTTGCCCGAGTTCCCCGCCCCTGCCTGACTGGGTCGCGTACGTGCAGATTGCGGTGGTGGAGCGCCGCGCCGTATTGCTTCGCAGCGACGGCTCAGCCGCTGTTTGTGGCTGGGGCCGATGCTGCGACGAGAACCTCGTCCCCGGGCCCGCGGCTGGGGCGGTTTACGTGCAGGTGCCGCGAGCGAGTGCCACTGCGTCTTTCTCTGGGACAACGGCACCTTCGAGACGACTGGCTCGAAGGACAAGCGCCCGCGCGCGGCCCCTGATCTGCCGAGGGCCCTTTGGCGTGCACAAGTCGCCGCTGGAGGCAGGGGGGGGGGGGGGCGAGTGCCGCGCTGCACTTTCGCGAAGTGATGGGGCCGTTCTAGCCGTTGGCGCAAACAGCAGCGGCCAGTGCGACATTCCCGTCGTGCAGGCGGAGCTCTTCTACGCGCAGGTCGCCGCTGCGGCGGGTCGAACTGTGATGATCAGAAGCGACGGTGCCGCGGTGGCGCGCGGCAGGGATGAGTGGGGCGGCATGCGCCCGGTGCTGGAACTGCCAGAAGGGCGTAGCTATGTGCAGGTGGCAGCGAGCGACCATCGCACTGTGCTGCTCAGGAGCGATGTCGCGGCTTTTGCAAGCGGCTGGAACACCTGGGGGCAGTGTTGCATCCCGGAGCTCCCGCGCGGGCTGACCTCCACGAGCGTGTCCGCCGGCCGTTGGTGCTCGCTGCTCATCAGAAGCGACGGTGCCGCCGTCGCTTGCGGCGAACTGCGTGACGCGAAAGGGGAGATCCGCGTGGCAAGCGTTGCATTCCGCCGCTGCGCATGGGGATGACCTTGTGCTCGGCATATCATGATAGCATTTATCTGCTGTTCCTCTGGGCCGCGTATGCCGGCGGATTGCCGGGCCTGGTGGCGGAGTAGAAAGAGAATGCTGGAACAGACGTATCGACCCCAGCATGGGAATCCCTGAACTGCGCAATGTGATCTTGGCAGATTTACAAGCGGGTGCACATGGCCAGGGGGGGGGGGGGGGCAGGGGGGGCGCCATGTAGACGTAGTCTTGCCGACTGGAAGACTGATGGGCAGTGCGTCGACTCATGATGCAGTGGATGCCGTTTGGGGCCTGCGTGCGAGGCGCGTGCGAGGCCCGTGCGCGGCAAGCGCGCCCGCGCCGCCTACTGGGGCGTCGAGTGAATGAAGAGCGGGGCCCCACGTGGCGCGAGCTCTTTTGCTAGCTTTTAAATTCCGTTCTGTGCAGCTCTTGCATCTTGCAGTGACTGTGGCGACAATTGACATGCCTCAAAACATCGCCCACCCTTACCTCCGACCTTCCTCTGTCGTCGCGCTCGTGCTCTCCGCGTCAACGGGGCTCTTGGGGGGCCTGGCGAGTAGCATTTCAATCGCATGTGTCTGCGTTTATGCTGCATCAAATTGGGTCGAACCCGCTGGGTGAAGAGTTGCACCTCGTAAAAGATGCAAGCGCTTTGCGCGTCATTTGCAGGGGGCTAAGCCGAAAGAAACAGCTTGCTTTCCACGAGGCGCCCCTCATGCCTCGTGAGTGTATCTCAGGCCCTCGGTCGCATCATTGTCGATCCTTTCTATTGCTTCTGGGACCTCGCCGCAGACTCAAGTTAGACCTCGCCATCTCTCGGGGGCTGCGATATGAGATCCCCGCTGTCGAAGTGGCTAGGGGTGCTCAGGGAATGTCACTAATCAGCTTTATCTAGTCCTTGTCCTGTAGCCAGTGTCCTCCGAGTCTCCCGAATTCCGTCTGCAGACATATGTGGCCCTCGCTCCGTCATCGCCCCCCTTACGAGGCGCCCTAAACTATTTGCGCCCCGCGTTTGCGCAGGGGTTGGGTACGTCACCAGGGTAATTGAGAATGGGGCGGTGAGTGGGGCCCTCCTGATGTGCTGTCCTTTTGAAGGCACGACGGACTCGCTTGAACGCCGGATTCGAACGGTAGGTCTGTCCAGCTTCCTGGTGCTTTGCCTGTTTCTCACCCGGCCTGTCTTTTGCCGCGTTGGCCCAGGGGGAGGGGCGCCTGCAGTGCTCCCGTGCCCGCTTTAGACGCGCCAGCGGTACTTGCTGTACTTTCCGCGTTGAGACCGTGCATTCGATTTCCACATCATTTCTAACTTCCTCTTATTTAGTTTCCTGCAGTTGCCGCTCGTGGTCGTCGTCCTCCTCCTTCCTTTACGCTGGGATGTCCTTCGTTGCGAAGTCGACGACTGCGACGACGACGACGGTGATGTTGACGACGGCGACCACGATGGCGGGCAGTGACGACGACGGCGACGGCGAAGACAAGGTCGGCTGCGATGGCGGCGACGCCGGCGGCGGCGGCGAGGGTCCAGCTGCTGCTGCAGTTGTGCCACCGCGCGGACGCCGCGGCCATGGGGGCGCCCGGGGGTCGCCAATTATACGCTTGCGCCGATGCTGGCCGGTTCCATGATTGACCCAGGATCGGTGTGTACTCCCCCCCTGGCTGGGTTCGTATTTTTATGCTGCCCCGGCGTTGTTTTTTTCACAATCGGGGATTTTGCCCTGTTTCGGGCCCTGTGGCTCTCACGGATCGATCCGGTTCGAGAACAGCCGCAGAAGAATGTGGTTCAGGACCCCTGCTGTATTTTCTTACGGTGCTGTTTCTTTGTCGGTGGGCCCAGGGTCGCTTCGCACGCCTCTCTGGTCTTTTTCAAACGGGTGCCTGCGCGCCGATCCCTTGGGCCCAGGGTCGGGGCTTGGTCAGGGTCGGGGCATGGCTTCGACTACAAGCAGGGGTGACCCTTCGCTGGAGTGACATGCAGTGCGCGGCTCCCTGGGGAAGCGGGGGGGCCAGACCTAACCGCGCGGGCCGCTAGTGCTGCGTCACACGCAGCCAATGGCAAGCCGCGCGCCAGAGGCCACCCTCGCCCCCATCTTGCATGTCGCCTCGGCGTGCGTAGTCGCCACGAAAAACATTTCGAGATTTTACGTCACGAAACACATGCAACATCGTTAAACCTGGACAGGAGTCCTGGACCCAGTCTTTCTGCGTCTTGTTTCTGGCCGGATCAATCTGTGAGGGTCCTGGGGCCCGAAAGAAGGCGTAAGTTCCCGTTGCGAAGAATTGCGACGCCACGATCTCAGGGAAGGAGGGAGGCCTTGTGGGAAATAGAACCCAGACTCCAGGGCTTTCCCAAGGGCCATCTCTTGATTCCGAATCGTCTTGTCGTTCCGAGTAGGCTTCCCACCGCCCACGGGCCCCCCATGGCCCTCCTCGGACCCCAGGGGGCCGAGCGGCGGAAAATCTGCAGAACCCCCTCCCTCCAGGACCCGATCATGACATCTGGCGTCGTCATTTGTTCTTAGCGTGGCCCCAAAGGGGTCCGGACCTTTCTCCTGGGACCGGCTTCCTATCACGAGACTTTTTTGACATCCTTGGGGCCCAGTGAGGGCCCCCATATTGAAAATCGTGAAAAGTTTTCCGTCGTGTTTTTTCACGACGCGAAGATGCTTGGGATTCCTTCGTGTCACGTATCCCAGGGGCAACGCGAAGGGGGGATAGGCTCAGAGGGGGTTGCATCGATACCCAATAGCCCATTCTTCGACGATGAGGACCTGATATCCCACCCCGCCCAGGAATGTGGAAACTCGCTATCGGGGGCCCTATCGCCGATCTTCCTGCGATGTGTCGCCGATTCCAAGTCGATGTCCCCCCCTTGAGCCGTTCCCCCCCTTGACGTTCCCCCTCATCAGAGGATGGCCAGCTGAGACAACGACGGCTCTCCCGCTCCCGCCTTGCCTAAATCTGTTCCCTCTTGGGGTCCTTCCTGACCCGCTTTGCGAGGCGGATCCGGCCGTAGTGACGAGAAGCCCCCAGCCGTGGTGACGAGAAGCCCCCAGAAGGCCAAGGGAAGACGAAAAGTTGAAGGGAGGACCACCGCCGTCTCGACTGCCATCCTACTATCCCGGGCCCCGACGTCGTGTACTTTTCGCAACATGGTTCGTCGGTACCAATTCCAGGAAGGGATCCAGACCTCTGGAGAGCCTCGTTGTTGTCGGCCCCAGGGCCCATCGAGGGCCCTGGACGCCGGAAGATCGGCAAAAGCCTCCCGTCGTGTTTTTTCACGGCGCGGGAAGGTCTGGGACTGCTACCCCCCCTCAGATCTGATTTCCTGCGTCGTTTTTCGAGCCGGATCGATTAGTGAGGGTCCCGGGGCCCGAAACCGGGCGAAAATGCCTGGTGTGAAGAAAGTGCACCGCCCAGATCTGAGGGTCAGTGCAGCCAGTGCCCTCCGCAGGCACTGCCCTACTTCGACATCTCCTGGGCCTTGATCGTCGCCGTGGCGGCCGAGGGCGACCACGGCGGCGGCGGCGCCGCCCTCCTCGAGCACCCAGCGCCGAGCTGCCGCCCACTATGGGGCGCGACGGCGGAACTGACGCGGCTTCTTTCGGAGGACCTCGTTGAGTAGCAAGTCATGTGAGCCTGGTCTGTCCTCGAAGTTCCGATCTTATAGCGCCTCAGCGTGCGTTAGCGTTTGGTACTGGTAATCGACGAGGAGGCGCCGATTTGGCGTCGACTGGCATCGGTGTAGCCTCGATTAGCGTCGGTTAGTGTCGATTCGTGAGAGCCATCAATATGATATGGTAGGCTCCCATGAGTTGCCATAGAAACCTTTGGGGGATCAAGCACATCCAACTCTCGGACGGTAGGACCTTTTCAATCCGGGCGTTATTCTTCGATTTCAGCCCATGAGGTCCCTCATCGGGCCCATGGACAATACACAACAGTTCCAGCCGAAGAACTTCAGAAGGTTTCTGCTTGTTTTCGGCCCCCAGGGGCTCGCCTGCCCGGAACCGTCAAACAACGATTGGTTGAGAAACTGGTCCTGAGCAGTGGGTCGAGACCTCTGGGCTCTGGGGGTCCGCGTTGTGAACAAAAACACGTCGTCGGGGGGCCTCGGTCCCATGTGTAGGCCCCCCCAACTCGGCCAGGGAGGTACATGCACCGATCCTGTGGCCAGGATGGCTCTGGCCTGGGGCGGTGGAACTGCATACATCTCCTCGCCATGATGATGCTGTAGCTGCTGAGGATTTGGATTTGGATGAGGATGAGGATGATGAGGATGATGAGGATGATGATGAGGATGATGATGATGTTGCTGCTGATGATGATGATGATGACGATGTTGATGACGATGATGATGATTTTGACGATTATGCTGATGCTGATGCTGCTGATGATGATGGTGATGTTAGTTTGTCATCATTATCATTATTATTTTATTTTGTTTTTTCAATAGTATCAGTATTCGTATGATTATTTTTGTGATGGTGATGGTGATGGTGGTGGTGGTGGTGGGGATGATGATGTTGATGATGCTGCTGCTGATGATGATGATGATGATGATGATGATGTTGATGATGATGATGCTGATGATGATGATGATGATGATGATGATGATGATGATGATGATGATGATGATGATGATCCCCAAAAGGGTTTACACTTAAGGGTTCTTATTTCTTTTCTACGGAATTCTAGACGCTTCGCGTATCCCCACCACAAAAGGAGACCAGACGTCAACACGCTCGTGGTAGTGGAAAACGTGGCCTCCATGCCTCTGGCACATCGTGAGGCCATGAGAACTGCCATGGGCGATCTCAGCCCGGGATGGGCCGTCAAGATGAACGCAGGAGAACATGTGGCCAGCCCAAGGGAGAGGCTGTGGATGGCAAACTTCCCCCCTCCCTCCAACGCAATAACGTACCATCGGCTTCCCAGCCACTGGGAGCCCAGATGGGCGTACAGGCCCGATGGAAGGATACCCACATGGACACAGTCCAAAGTGGCCCAAGACGATCCAGACGCCATACTACCCAGTAGCTTCCAGGCTCATCTCTTCTGCCTCCTATACAATGAGGACATCACCCACAGATGGTTCCTTCGGAATCCGACGGACCTAAGGCTGGGAGCCGCCCAGATTCTCGCAGAATGCGGAGCTGAGCAACGGTTCGAAGGATGCACGGAGGGCCTCGGACTGGTGATATCGGGGAAGGAAAGGGAGAGCCCTGCTGCAGAGGAAAAAGCCAAGGCATGGGGTAGATGGCTGGTCAAAGAAGGAAGGGCCCATGGGCTCAGACCCCCTAGCGCAGTGGAGAGAGCTCGGGCCACTGGCCTAGCGGAATACTACCGCGGGCTCGGAATAGACGGTATGGCGCTGTACGACGCGGTCGCCATACACTTCGACCCGAGGTGCCTCCAGCGAAGAGTGGTATCTGTGATGCAAGCATGGAAGGCGGGGGATTACAGGGCCATGGCCCGGACCCCAGCGCCCACGGGCGAGCAAATAGCAAGAGGATGGGTGACAGCACGCACCTACGCAGGGGCACAATGCCCGTGGGCCCAGCTCCAGGGCCATCCATTCCCAGACGACATCGCAGAGCAAATGAGACGTGAGGAAGCCCTCCTGCCGGAGATGCAGCGCCCCTAGACTCTGACAGGGACCCCAACTCGTTCCACAGAGCGTTGGGGTCCCCTCCCCGGCACTTACGAGTCCCGGGAATGCGCGCACGCGCCTGGGGAGGACAGGCTCGTCGCGCACTCAACATCGCACTGGAAGAAAGATGCCACCGCAGCATCCGGGCGCCAAGGAGCCTATGGGCGCTGCTACACCATACACCTTGGGCGCACCCCGCGTGGGACGATTCGTGTGGCACCCTGTCCCTTGAAGACGCGATGCGCGCCTTGAGCACCCCCCCCATACTTCTCTCCCCAGGTTCTCTTGCTGGAATGTCAGGTACCTTAGAAGTACTTAGAAGCTGTACCGCTGGCAAGAAGCAAGTCAAGCACGCCTTGCTAACTCAGGTCACTCTGAACAATAGAATCGCCTTCATTCAGGAAACGCACTGGTCCGAACGTGAGGCCCAAGT